CTTTCCTTTCAAACATATCAAAGCCAAGAGTCAACTCCTGTCCTTACCCCGGTAATTACTTTTCCCTCAACTATTTGCTACCAGTGCCACCAGCTGCCAGGCAGGTGTCTTCCAGCAAATGACACTGGCCAGGACCACTCAAGTTCAGCTCGCTGAACAAGGCTCAAGGTGCCGGTGTCCTACCAGGGAAATTTAATATTGGAGGGAGCTACTGGTGATAGGTAAGTGGTTATCAGTTGGACAGATTTATACACAGGACTGCATTGCAAATCACTGCTCATAAAATATCACCGTCTCACTGAAGCAGGCCATGTCTTCGCTGCATTTACTATTATAAATGTATTCATTGTAAACTTTAGGCTATCACATTGCCTCTGGCCTGTAAATTATAACAGGATTCTACTACATACCTCCTGAAATTGGTAATTCTGCGCAAAAGCATTCTGCAACTTAAATTACAATGAATGCAGCTGTTAATTTAGCTAATCAGCAGTTATATTAACTACCTACAAAACAGGGAATTAAGAACTGTTGGGTGACTATCTTATGAGGAAAAAAAAAATGGTAACACTGATGCTTTTTTGATGGCATATCTCATTATAAATGGGTTACCACAATATAATCTCAGCAGAAACAACAGTAATGTATACGGCCATTAGTGTGTTATAGATTGATAATACACCAGATAATACACAGCTGAAGGATGCCTGTTTGAAATATTTTTGTAGATGTAATATTAGACAATACCAAAATTCATTCATTCTTCTTGTTTAGTATGGAACACATATTAACAGTCACTGATTTATTACAAATGATGTCTTTAATCACAGTTCTGCTTATATTTTATATAAGATTTTACTGAAGCTCATTGGATTGAGACCCACTCAGAAAACTTAGCAGATTGTAACAATTGTTCTCATAAGATAAGTTTTGGATATGCACCTCTGTCTAAAACCAGACTTGTCCACAATATCCCTACAGATACCAGGAAGCTCCAGAGCAAGAGCCAGAAAGCTGCAATGAAGGAGACAGGAATCTTAAATTGCTTGAGTCTGGCGCTGCCTGCATTCTACCTCTTCACTGTCACTTCATATATCAACTTTTCAACTGAAACGGATTGTATTTAACACCAACCATCTTAGCAAAGCCCACGTAGTATGAATTTACAACCCGGTTAAAGAAGGAAAGAAATACATCATATGTGGTCTGACAGTAGAGCGTACCAAAAGCAATATTCTACTGAGATGCACACTGAAGCTGTCCAGCATCGATCCACCCCTGACCTCAGGTGGGCCAGGGAGAGTGCATTTCTCCAGAGCAGAGGAGTAGTTTCTCATTACTGCATTGGTGGGTTTGTTACTGTTTTCCTGTACATAAATCAATACATTATTCTCTAAGAACATTTGCTGCTCTGTGTCACAGCACTTCTGTATTCTTGCAATGGGGAGCTACAGCAACAAGACTTAGAATCCTGTTAATGGGGGAAGAGATGGTCAAATCCTCCAAATGAATCACGGTTAAGAAGTGGCAGGAGCAAGAGAAATAAGACATGACAAGTTCCACTGCTGCAGCTTCTCCTTGCTTTTGGAAAGTAACTGCTCTTTTCATAACCATGTTGTCAGTGTATTTTCAAGACTAGTTTCTAAAGCAGCGTCTCATTACATCAGTCTGGTCTTTAATACATGTCTATTTACTTTATCAATGGCTTTTGAAGCAGCCTTCAAAGACACTTCCTTAAAACAGGCTTTCCATCCACTAATTAAACCTTAACAATCCCTTGTAATGAGCAACACATTTTTTCCCAAAAAATGTAAATGTCTAAGGTGGCTGCTCATGTCAGCACTGAAGGGAGAGGTCATTTCTGAAGGATCCTCCATCACAAACATCAGAGAACAGGAAAGGGACTGAAGGGCACCCGAAGCAGAAGCAATTTTCTCACAGTCTTGACACCTTCTAGTAAATTAGTCACTCGTGGAGGAAAATGACAGCTATATAGCAATAGAAAAGCTTGTAAAGCTCTTCATTTACTGTTTGAAATGTTGTCTATGTCACTGTCAGGCAACAGTCCCCACCCTGCTTTACTCTCGAGTGGTCTATCTCAGGGGCTTTTTGCAAATCATGCCTTAATGAACTTTAAATAACAACTATGTTTCTTAGTTCTAAATGCTGCTTTTGTCTTACCTGCATGATTGTTTTCTGAATAAGTTTGTCCACTCAAGCTGATATACCAAATGAAAGATTGTTGTAATCAAACTAATAGCATTCCAAGATAAAGCCATGAAAACTGCAGCTTCAGACAGCTGTCATCTCTTTGGCTATTCTGCTTATTATTTACAGACAAATTCTGGTATCTGCTGCATGTTACATGGTACGTTTAGGTGCAATTTCAGCGAAAGCACTCATGGAACAAGCTCTGTAAGTGTCTATTCTCAGAATCTAGCCTAGAGAAAGAACGGAGCTTGAAAGTCATTTCAGACTTATTTTTTCCTCAGCACAGTCACTCCTCAGCACAGTCACCGTTCTAAATAAGTACACATAAACATATGCTTGCTTTCTTTAGAAATAATTTATATTAATTCAGTGCCCTTATATAATTGGCTAGATACAAAAGTCACTGGAAACTGAAATCCTCTTAGTTACATGACAATCAGAATATGGACAGCAAAACAAAAAAAAATTCTAAAACTGGAGGCTCTAAGGAGCAGCAAGACCGATTATCTTCAGTGGTAAAAGGGCAATTGCTGTTACATGGCAAAAAAGAAATCGGGCAAATTCATATAAACTACTGGAGGCTCTAAGGAGCAGCAAGACCTATTATCTTCAGTGGTAAAAGGGCAATTACTGTTACATGGTAAAAAAGAAATCGGGCAAATTCATATAAACACACTATGGAGAATTAGCACTTGCTGGCTAAAGACACTGACACATTATGCAAGCCAATTACTGTGTGGAGCGGTGGTGACACCTCGAATGGAAACTCCTTTGTGGGATGCCTGAGTACTGCAGGAAAGCATCTATTTATAACACCTGGCGTTCTTCCACTGATGGCACAGATTCCCCTGAAAAGACCCCCAGATGCACAGAACAGTAGAATATAATTTCAAATGGAAGGGACCTCTGAAGATCCAATGCCTGCTTTAGGCACGACTGACCTCCAAGTTGGAAAAGACTGCTCAAGACCTTATTCAGTTGAGTTTTCAGCATGTCCAAGGAATCTACAGTCTCTCTGGGCAATCTGGGAATTGCCCTCACTGCAGCCTGTGACTGTTATCATCTGTCTTTTCACTGTGCATCTCCGGGAAGAGGGTGGCTCCATCTCTTCTGTGAACCCCACTCCCATTAGACACTTTCTCCAGGCTGAACAAACCCAAATCCCCAGCCTCACCTCACATGTCATTTCAAAAATATCTCCAAACACCCCCTTCATGGTGAAGAATGAGGGTATCAGAAGTTCGCCAGTGTTGGGGTTTGCAAGCTGAAGAGATTCTGCCAGGGATGTGAGCAAATGCCACCCTTGCCTAAACGGCTGCTCCCTACAATGTGGTGACACAGCACCGCTTCACACATACCAGCTGCTCTTGAAGACTGCACATAGCAGCAAGATGGGGTATGAACAGCAGCTTTATGAAAGTTTCCCTTACTAAACATTTCTACAGATAAGATACAGCATTGCTGAAAATCTAGCAAGCTTGTTTTTTAGAAGCAATATGGTCAGAGTGAACAGCTTGGTTTCAGCTGCCTTCTCCATGGAGATCACTCCCCTTCGTTGTAGGAAACATCTTGAAAATCTTCTTCCATGTGTTTCATCTGCGTTGCAAAAACCACAGTTAAATACAAAAAGTGAACGCAGCACTGAAATAAATTTTGCTTAAGCCCACCAGGCTATGGGGTTCCTTTCCCATGACTACCCCAGAACAGCACGTAACCTACGGAACTGTTGGAAGACTCTCCAACAGAGCGAAAATAAGCGTGATACTCTTCTATTATACTTCAACTTCTGTCAGAGTAAGATTAATAAAAAGTTCATGCACCTACCAGAGCATAAAGTTTACCTTCCCTCCACATGGAGATTGAGGAATACATTTTAGGACATATCAATTTACAGAGCTCTCTTTGAAAACCTTGTGGAAAGGCTTGTGGTCAAAACCCAGTTAAAGATATTTACTCCTTTGAGCCTTAGTTTAAAAACACATTTCTTCTTTCAGATACAGCCCACATAATGTCAGGGCTTTTCTTTCCTTTCCTTTGTTTCCAGATAATAGAAGAAATTCACTTCATCTTTAAAGAACAGTTTCTATCCTTGTGAAGGAGTAAATTATTATGTCGAGTTTCTTCAGTTAGCATACCTGTACAGCAATTTTTTTTCAATAAAAATAATCTTTGGTTAAAGGTTTCATTAGATTTCCCAGGAGACGGATAACAGCCAAATTTCCAGCCATCTGCAGGAACCACTACAGACTGTGATCACACACTCCAAAGAGTGAAATTCTTCTCAACGCTTTTGTTCAGACAATGGGATCACTGTATCTTCCAAGTGCTTAATCACACCAAGGGCAGGAGCGTAAAGCCTTTACCCACAATGAATACTCTAACAGTCTTAATGAAAATCAGGCCTCAGGCAAATTATTAGTAAAATTTAAAATCACGAGGAAATTATCCTTCACATTTTTAGCAATGAGAACGAGTTACTTCATAGACGCCTATACACAGATAGTTCTTTTAAAGCCCACTTTTCATCTTCAGTCAGAAGAGCAGGCTACAGCAAAGATACTTGAATACTAAGCACAAGTCCCCTCCTATACTCCAAACATACTATCACGTTACTGGAACTTTAACATCCAGCACAGCAGCAAAAACGTAGAACGGGTCCACTTCCCCAAACACTTGAAGTGCTTCAGCCACGTAGTTTCCAAATTAGCTACTGTAAAAGAGTAAAGCCTTTACTTAAATGCCACACTGCAACACCTTAAATATTTGGAGGCTGCATGGAGAAAGCTTACCCCTTGACTGCAAACCATGTCCACATGCCTCAGTGTGTCCCGGCACAGTCTGTCTCTCCGAATCCGGCACCAGCACACAGTGACTCCATCGGTGGGCCTTCCACCTGCGAGAGGAAATGGTTAGAATCACAGAATGGTTTGGGTTGGAAGGGACCCTAGAAATCATCGAGTTCCACCCCCTGCCATGGGCAGGGACACCTCCCACTAGCCCAGGTTGCTCAAAGCCTCATCCAGCCTGGCCTTGAACCCCTCCAGGGATGGGGCACCCACAGCTGCTCTGGGCAACCTGGGACAGTGCCTCACCACCCGCACAGGAAAACATTTCTTCCTAATAACTAATCTAAACCTACCCTCTTGGGTAGATTGTTTAGAATTAGTTAACAATTAAGTGGTTAAAACTGGAAAACAGTCAATATGTCCATGCATAAACTTCAGTTACAAATTATGAGATACTGTGGAGACTCAGGGAAAAATAGAGTCAAAAATCTGTAATTGCTCCTGAAATAAGCATTGTGAACTGAAATTCAGGTGCAAGGTTCACCTTCTAGAAAGTCACATCATCCTCCAACCATGTTTTCCTCTCTCATTTTTGTAGGGCACGGTTCAAAGTCACATAAAATACACAGGAAATATCTTCAGTGGGCTTTGAAATCAGGCTCTCCTCCTGCAAACCCCTTCTCACACAACTGATGCTCTATCGAAGCTGCTCTCTATGCTAGGGCATGTGCCAGTCAAGGACACAATAAAGCAGCTGCACGGTATGGAGCTGAGCAGTGTGACTCCTGCTTTGGGATAATCTTCAGCTCCCTGCTCTGCTCTGAGACCATGTCCTACAGGATGTGCAGCCTGGAGATTTATATGCAAAAAATAAGATGCTTTTCTATTTACTAATATTGTATAACAGATGGGCCACAGAATTTTAATGAAGAGAGGTGAGTAATGGCCCTATTGTACTATTTGTCTAATCAGAATTTTTTAAAGTGCGCATTATTCACCAGAGTGAGAGCACCAGGGGAAAAGACAAGAGTTTCTGCAATAAGCATACAATTATGATTAAGGCAGTTGAGTGCCTGTGGTCCCAAAATAGCCTACACTGATTTTTAGATACATTGAGGGGGGAGTTCCCAGTAATAGTCTCCTTAACCACATCGAACCCTGAGGTTACGGTTTCTAGGAGCTGTGTCTATTGGTGCTTGTTCTGATGATGCCAGATCTACAGAAATCTCCAATTTAACTCTACTTTTACACGCTTTGCAAGGTACATTGTTTGTTTATAACTCTGCATTTTCCAGTATTATGTTGTTTTCTGGAACTGTGCAGGACAATCGCACAAGAGTCACTTCTGGGAAGTGGACACCCACTGGCAAGAGACTGATTCCAAGCTAACACTTTTTACCTATACACTGGACAGATGGGAATATCTTCACATTCTCGTTCCTCATACAGGGTGTCTGGGCATGCCTGTCCCCCATTGGCAGATTCCTGAACGATAATCCTGTACCGGGACTGCTTAACTGCAGTGGCATTACCTGGAAAATAAAGAAAAAAATTTCCTTCCAGACACAGTTGGCACCCTGAGTTAGTGATCTAACCATCTTGGTTAAAAACATGTTTCGCATTTCATTTATATTTTGAAATCATAAGCACTCTGCCACTACCCAAAGAAGGGAAGGAATGGTATGTTGGATCACAAGCTACCATTACTTACTTTAAAATTACCAGTAGTTCAGCAGAACAGCACCTGGAAGGTTGATAAACCAACAGCCTAAGAGATGCATCAAAAAACGTCTGTTTAGCAGAACATCAAATCAAAGAAAATAAGTATGAGCAAATACTTAAACACCTGAATAGAAGAATAAAAACAAAAACCCAAAAAAACAGTCATAATGAAAGATTTTGTTTCTGAAAACACATTCTGGTAGTCTCAGGCTGCTACCAGTAACCCATCTTTATGGGTGTAGAAATTATAGATGATAACTTCCTAATAGGAAAGCCATTGCAACCAACAAAGGCTGACTCTCTACTTAACCTGAGTCGATGCAAGATCAATCCACCTGGAAACACAGTTCACAAAACCTACAGTACAGAATGCAGCATGGAAGACAAGGATAAGATTTATCTCTACATCTCTACAGCTAAAACAAATGCAATCCTTGGCTGTGTAACTGATTTCTTAGTGATTTCAATATGACTTAAATTATTGTCTATTGTGTTTGCTACCTCTTCCAGCTCTGCACCATCCACTATTATTCAAGCACACAAGATGTTCAGACAAATATCACATACAACCTGGACAAGAAGAGTTTTCTGCAGGGCTCTCTTTGGCTTATGTTCCAGTTTGACTGTGAATAGTGGACATCTATCAGCCAAAGCAGCTTTGCAGAGAAGGACGTGGGAGTCCTGATGGACAAGTTGACCATGAGGCAGCGATGTGCCCTTGCAGCAAGGAAGGGCCACAGCATCCTGGGCTGCATTAGGAAGAACATCACCAGCAGGTCAAGGGAGGCGATCCTTTCCTCTTCCTCTCATCAGCACTGGTGAGACATCTGGGTGCCATGTCTAGTTCTGGGCTCCCCAGGAGAAGGAGGATGGGGGCATACTGGAGCGAGTCCAGTGAACAGCCACAAAGATTATGTAGGGAGTGGAGTGTTTGACACAGACGGGACCAGGACAGCTGGGACTCTTCAGCCTGGAGAGGAAAAGGCTCACGGGATCTCAGAACATCCTCGTACAGGAGGTGCTCCAGCCCTCTGATCACTTGTGGCCTCCTCTGGTCTCGCCCTTATAGGTCCATGTCCTTCCTGTGCTGAGGACTCCAGAGCTGGATGCAGCACTGCAGGGGAGGTCTCACAAGAGCAGAGTAGAGGGGGAGAATCACCTTCTTCAACCTGCTGGTCACAATTCTTTTGATGCAGTCCAGGACACAGCTGGCTTTCTGGGCTGCAAGTACGCACTGCTGGTTCATGTTCAGCTTCTCAGTGATATGCACTGTGAGATTTTCCAAACAGCTGAGTACCCATTTAACAGCGGTTTAATTCAAGTTCCTCAGCTTCCTGATAGAAGTTTCATGTGTCAAAAATCTACTGCTTCCCATAATTAGGACAGCTATGCTATCAAAAAAAAGGGAGATTAAATTTATTGGGCGCTATTTGTTGTCAATAAATCCATACTGTCCAGTTTTTCAGAATTTGATTCTTGAAATGTTTATATCTTGAGTAATAACTTGTTCTTTTGTTTTTTTTCTACACAATGAACTTAGGATGAGTAATCTACAATCTCCCTGACCTTTCTTTTTTTTTGGTGGGGGTAAGGGGGAGGGTCTTAGTTGGTTGGTTTAGTTTGTCTAGGTATTACAGAGTTTTAGGTAGTTTCTAGGACTTCGCAATTTCTCACCCAGAAGATAGCCACTAGATGCTCCCATGTTGCTTTTTTACTTCCTTCTCCATTCACACAGCCCTACTGACACGGGAACATCGAATTTATTGAAATCCTTATTCTTAGTCCATTCCTCTCCTGGCTGCAGACAGGAAACAACAGCAGCCATCACACATTCTCTGTGTTGTGTTTCCCTTGTTCTTCAGTAAGTAATGGACAAATATTTCATTCAGCTTCCCCTTACTTTTATCCATTTATGTAATTCTTGTTATCTAATATCCTCCTATAGCTTAATTTGCATTCTTGATTTCTGTATATTTTTCAATTCACCTTCAGTTACATGCTGGTTTCTAATTTTTATGAAACAATCTGATAATCAAAAAGGAAGGAACATTCTGAACTGATGGTGAGAAAAGCTAAAAACAGGGCTACACTAGCCGTGTTTGATGTTTTCCCTTCATGGTTTGAAGCTTGAACATGCATACAGACCTGCACACACCTTGTTCCCCTGTGCTATTGGCTTGCTCTTATAATAGTTTCAGGGTAGAAAGTAGAGTCCAGTTGGGCTTCAGCCCTTCATACAGTCTTTCTTGGTCACTTCCAGGTCTTCTACGCTCCTGACTCCACAGAACATGTTCCCAAGAGGTGTAGCTACCAATTCTCACAGTTCCTTGAAATCTTTTTTTTTAAATGTCTTGCTGATATTGCTATCCTTCCCCTCTCCTAAGAATCGTGAACTCTATCACTTTGTGATGATTTTCATTCAAATTATCTACTACCATTAGAATCTTAGCCATTTCCTTCCTATTAATCAGTACCAAATCTAAATGAGCTTCCCACAGTAATTTTCTCCACCTCAAGAAACTACATTATCCTCAACATTTATTGCACATTACTCAAACCCCATTTTCAAAATTGAACTTCCGCATTGCCTTTTCTACAGCATTCCTTACAAATGTTAATGAACATAATTTTTATATCTCATTTAAAATTGCTAGAGCCTGATTTTCCAGAGCATTAGCATTATGTAGGACTGTCCTTTTAAAGCTGAATTTCAGCTGATTTCAAGTATGGCTATGACTGCTTGCCCTCCTGAAAAAATCAAGCCTCAGGATCTCAAGAGAATCTTAACTTCTGTGTCCTTGACTCTGCAATTCAGATAATGCTGTCTGAGAATTCTGGGGGTGCCTTACCTCTGCTTCCACTCCCACCTCCCTGTCCCACCAGTCTCCTTCTCCTTACCCTCCTATCGATCCACTCTTCTCATTCCTCCCTTGCTCCTGCATCTTTCCTTCCTCTGCATTTCACCCCAGGGCTTCTCCGGTACCCTGCTCAGGGCTCGGAAAGGAACATTACCATTTTCAGGCAAGAGACAAAATCCTTGTTCACTACTGTAAAATCTGCTATATCTGGTCCAGCTTTTACAGGAAATATTCAGCTCCATACTCTTTGCTCCTGACCAGATGGAAAGGCAGAGTCTGAGCACACACGTAACAAGAACAGCCTCTCCCAAGATTTTCATCACCAAAACCACAGCTGTCTTGAGTATTTTTGTGCCCATAAGAGCTTTTGAAGGGATAAGTGTTTAACTTTGACCAACTCAGGTTGGGTGTTTGTTTATGAGAACTGAAAGTGGCAGATCCTTGACAGAAACTGTCTGACACACGGGAAAGGTCACTGGAATGTCTTTTCATGGCACGCCATGCATTTTATCCACTTTCACTCTTATCTCATTTCAAATCTTATTTAAGGCATGGGGAAATAAATAGGACAGTTACTACCTAACATTTCATGTAGACTTGTTTAGAGGACTAAGCAATAGTGAAATTTCTAACCTTCCCCCCGGAAAACCAATTCCCAGAAGAGGACAGGTACTTACAGGTACCATCTCTTTTCAGGAGGGAGATGAAAAACAGCATTTATTTTTAGGTGTTCGCTTTTTTTATTTTTAATCTCCCCACTTTAAATCCATGCTGACAGACCAGAGAGCACATCATCCATGCTGAAAGCAGTTGCCTCCCCAGGACACCTTCACCAACAGGTACGGAGGTGACAGAGGAGAATCTACATGCTGCTCATTCAAACCACCTCATATTCTGAAACCTCCATATTGATTCTTTGATCCGTGTTTCGATTCATCCTCAAAGACCCATTAAAACAGATATATTATAGGAGACTGCGGTAGACAGTTGTCACCTGTAAGTATCTGAAATGGCAGAGAATCAATAACTTGCAACAACCTCCCTGTTCCTGCCTCACCAACAGGTGCTGGGATCCAATTGCGCTTCTTTTGTGATTTACATTGTCGGTCCATCTGTTACTGCCCTAGGTTCACCGCTGTCTACACTTCTCAGGTATGAGATAAACCTTCGTCAGAAGACAGCCTGTTGTCTGATGACATTTAAATG